TAACGGGGATCAGCCAATCAGCGCCTTTGTTTTTGGAGTCACGGAGAGGACACCCGTTTTGCGCGAACTGATAGGTTTCGTTTTTGAGTTAACGGTGAGAGTGGCCGGGAAGCCCATCGTAGATATTTCTGAGGAGAATAGTTAATAAATCAGTCATCTGTGCTGTGATCCGTGCATGTGTGCGTTCAGAGACATGTGAGTACCCTGGTGAATGTTTTACATATGTGTATTTTGGTGTATTAGGGTATTTATGAGTGTTGTTGAATCTGAGGTACTCAGTTGAAATGCAGTATTGTTAGCTAAAAGTTCGCTAACAGCACATTAATGCCTAGTATTATTAGTAATACACTACTATTGTGCTTATGAGTATTAATCTGATACTGCATGCATAGTTATTCATGGAGTGTTTATAATGATTATGTTGTCGAGAACTATGTGTTTTGGTTGTTGTTGTTACTGAGAGAAGGCTGTTTAATTTAATAATAAGCTAATGTGTGCTGGTATATTATTTGTTTATTTGATTTAAATAGCTAAAGTTACCTGAAGTGAAGATTATACTAAATGACAAGTATTAGCTTTAATAATTGTATCCTGACAGCATTTTGTTATTTGTATGCTGATATTTTTCTTTTCTTTATTGTTGTTGTTGTAGAACCACACATACTGTACATTTTAAGAAGACAGACAATCATCTGTTGGCTGTCAATAAACCCCTTCAAGAGAGTCAGAGCATCCAGTTGCATTCTTACCGATGCACCACAGTGGTCACTTATCCCAACAAGCTATAATTACAGTCCTAGCTATCAAGGTCTTCGTTTCACTCACTCACTCACACTTACTCACGCACACACTCACTCACTCACTCACTCACTCACTCACTCACACTTACTCACTCACTCACACTTACTCACTCACACACTCACTCACTCACACTTACTCACTCACTCACACTTACTCACTCACACACTCACTCACTCACACTTACTCACTCACTCACACTTACTCACTCACACACTCACACACTCACTCACACTTACTCACTCACTCACACTTACTCACTCACACACTCACACACTCACTCACACTTACTCACTCACTCACTCACTCACACTTACTCACTCACACACTCACTCACTCACACTTACTCACTCACACACTCACTCACACACTCACTCACTCACACTTACTCACTCACACACTCGCTCACACACTCACTCACTCACACTTACTCACTCACTCACTCACTCACACTTACTCACTCACTCACACTTACTCACTCACACACTCGCTCACACACTCACTCACTCACACTTACTCACTCACACACTCACTCACACTTACTCACTCACTCACACTTACTCACTCACTCACACTTACTCACTCACTCACACTTACTCACTCACACACTCGCTCACTCACACTCTCACTCACACTTACTAACTCACACTCACTCACACTTACTCACTCACACACACACTCACTCACTCACACTTACTAACTCACACTCACTCACACTTACTCACTCACACACACACTCACTCACTCACACTTACTAACTCACACTCACTCACATATACTCACTCACTCACACTTACTCACTCACACACTCACTCACTCACACACACACTCACTCACTCACACTTACTCACTCACACACTCACTCACACTTACTCACTCACACACACACTCACTCACTCACACTTACTAACTCACACTCACTCACACACTCACTCAAACACTCACTCACTCACACTTACTCACTCACACACTCACTCACACTTACTCACTCACACACTCACTCACACTTACTAACTCACACTCACTCACTCACACACTCACTCACACACTCGCTCACTCACTCACTCACACTTACTAACTCACACTCACTCACACTTACTCACTCACACACTCACTCACACACTCACTCACTCACTCACTCACACACTTACTAACTCACACACTCACTCACACTTACTCACTCACTTGCTCACTCACACTTACTCACTCACTCACACTTACTCACTCACACTTACTCACTCACACACTCGCTCACTCACACTCTCACTCACACTTACTAACTCACACTCACTCACACTTACTCACTCACACACACACTCACTCACTCACACTTACTAACTCACACTCACTCACACTTACTCACACACACACTCACTCACTCACACTTACTAACTCACACTCACTCACACTTACTCACTCACACACACACTCACTCACTCACACTTACTAACTCACACTCACTCACATATACTCACTCACTCACACTTACTCACTCACACACTCACTCACTCACACACACACTCACTCACTCACACTTACTCACTCACACACTCACTCACACACACACTCACTCACTCACACTTACTAACTCACACTCACTCACACTTACTCACACACTCACTCAAACACTCACTCACTCACACTTACTCACTCACACACTCACTCACACTTACTCACTCACACACTCACTCACACTTACTCACTCACACACTCACTCACACTTACTAACTCACACTCACTCACTCACACACTCACTCACACACTCGCTCACTCACTCACTCACACTTACTAACTCACACTCACTCACACTTACTCACTCACACACTCACTCACACACTCACTCACTCACTCACTCACACACTTACTAACTCACACACTCACTCACACTTACTCACTCACACACTCACTCACACTTACTAACTCACACTCACTCACTCACACACTCACTCACACACTCGCTCACTCACTCACTCACACTTACTAACTCACACTCACTCACACTTACTCACTCACACACTCACTCACACACTCACTCACTCACTCACTCACACACTTACTAACTCACACACTCACTCACACTTACTCACTCACACACACTCACTCACTCACTCGCTCACTTACTCGCTAACTCACTCACTCACTCACTCACTCACACACACCTACTCACTTACTCGCTCACTCACTCAATCACTCGCTCGCTCACTAACTCACTCACTCACTAACTCACTCACTCACACTTACTCACACTCACTCACTCACTAACACTCACTCACTCATTCACTCACTAACTCACTCACTCACTCTTTTTTGAACTTGACTCCTCATGCTTTTTATGTAATAAATAAACAGTATATCAGCTTGTCTCAACATAAAGAGCTGTTCCTTTAAGGCCAGCAGTTGTCCTGTAGTTGAGTGTGTTCTTCCGCAGATCTGCACTGAGGTTTAGATTGATACATTAGCAGGACATTCACTGTAATTGCATTTATAATTCATTTCTGCTTGGTTTTTGAGGCCTAGCTGAGCATGCGCTGTATTCTCAGCTCTCCCCTGATAATTGGCTCTTACGTGATGTAACGCACTTTACCGTAAGTAGGCTTAAATGTAAATGTACTAATTCATGTAAAACACTGCCAAATGAGGAAATATTATTATATAGTTTTCAAGGCTGCTCTGCTTCTGTGTAATTCATATTATTCACACAATGTTTCAATCAGTCAGTCTTAAACCTACAATATGCAGGATTTTTGCAGTAAAATATCCCAAAATCACTAGTCCAATGTTACATATTTTGTTTAGTTGATTACTTACACTATCCCAAATGTTTCAAACTATTTGTAAATCGTGAAAAAAATCGCAATTTTTAACCAAGGAAACGGGACGTGTGAGCAGGGAAGAGGAGTCGCCAGTCAATGACATCATATCCGCGTTACCCTCGGTTTCCACTAGGTTTGACCTCGTACTGCTATAGTAACCATGGCGACAGACGTTGAGAACTGGGTTATGGCCGTTATGCCTAGCAGGACGTACATTATAACCATGACAAGCAGACGTTGAGACAAAAAGAGTACTTAAATGAAGATTAACATCACGTCCGCGACTAACTTCGACTTGACGCGAGAGTTGCATGTACTTTATTATTATTATCATCAATATACGCCTTTGTAATTGTAATATAGTGCAAATTTGTAAATATAGCGACCCCTGGTGGCGAAAAATTCTGCATATTGTACCTTTAAGTGTGCAGTCCGCTATGAAATTTTGCAACTTTATGCATTAATGAATTGTGTTTAGGCTTGCCGCGATAGACGGTGTTGACGGTGTTACCGGTTTTAAGCCCCATCACCGGTGACATCACTTTCCCACCGTGACAACGCGATGTCTTGACTTTTTTTAAAGTATTCGTTTTTGCTAAAATATTTATTTGAATTAATTAAAAATAATAATTATCAATTATTTAGTTCAACATCAACATGCTCGGTTTTCTGGCAAAGAACATGTAGACTCAGTCTAAATGTTCTTGACTGCAAGACTGTCTTTGTCATGAAGTCAGTCTTTGTCTCAACTGTCATGTTCTTTGACTCTACTAGACTGCAAGCATTTATTTATGTTAATAAATGCCAATTTATAGTGTTTTACGTTTTTTTTTTTTAGAGTGCTGTCATTTAGTTTAAGTTTTTATTTTATATTCGTCTCTTTTTATTTGGTTTCATCTTATTTAAACTTTGTGTAATTTATTTAGGCCTATTTTGTTTTCTTTTTCGTTAATAAACGTTTTATGGTTCTTCTTTGTTTGGGCCCACAGTTTGCCGATTTTCACTTTTTTCAGCCTATGCACGGGGTTTCTTTTTATTCGTTCGTTATGCTAATAAAAGTTTTGTCTATATTTTATTCGTTCGTTATGCTAATAAAAGTTCTGTCTATAAATAAAAGTTTTATTATCAGCGAGTTGAGCAATTGACGCTGAATTGGCAATTGACGCTTATTTCGAAAGTTAAAGTATAACGCGCACGCATTTAAAAGCTATTTAACACCCCCGCCCCGCCCTCCACGGTGACAACGGGATTACCGGTGTTGTTACACGTCGATTAACCGGTGGGAAATTTTCCTCATCGCGGCAACCCTAATTGTGTTCGGTATCATTTATTGGATCTATTTGCATATTGCGCATGCATGTGATATGTTTGATATGAGTATTGCGGTACCTGTGAGGTAGGTGTTGTGGGAGGAGTTGATGAAGTACTGAGAGAGAGGGAAGGTCATGTCTTCACTCTGGTCCAGTTTTTCGGCAGGAATGACGCTGTTCTCTTGACTGATCAGATATCTGGAGAAGCCCTCCAATGAGATCTGCCCTGTTACACAAATATCACAACACATCACAACTAGGGTTGGGTATTGAGAATCGAGTATCGATTGGAACCGGGACTAACTTTTCGTTTTTCCCGGAATCGTTCAAAAGTTCAAATTTCGATTCCTAGTTTCAATTTTTCACAGTCCGCCGAGCGGAAGAAGAAACCGCTGAACAACACCAAGGAAGAAGCGTCTACCGGAAGTGTTGGTATAACCGCGCGAGTCGAACATGAGTAGCTTACGTCAGCGGTCCAAAGTGTGGCTTCACTTTTCTAAAAATAACGAAATCTCGACAAAATGCAAAATTTGTGACAAAAGGAATATTTGTGACAGAAGGAGTATTTCCTTCAGAAAGGATTATTTCCTTCAGAAAGGCCGTTGGTTAGCAAGGTTAGCTAAACTTTTTTGACCCTGCCTCTTAAAAGAATCGGAATCGAGAATCGTTAGGAACCGGAATCGAAACAAGGAATCGGAATCAGAATCAGAATCGTTCAAATTCAAACGAACAAGAGGAGCATGCTTGCATGCATTTTAAAACATATTTGTGGGTAGCACTATATTTTACAGTGTCCTTGTTACACATGTTACATGTATGAATTGCTTCAATGTGAAACATAATTGTAAATGTACAATCTTTTATGGTGTCTTATGATTCAGCCTCAAATATCAAGATCAACTACACCACTTTTTACAACTATGGAAGAGCTAAATAAACTTATCATTGCATCTAAACCAACAACATGTTTATTAGATCCAATACCAACCCGATCTCACGACCAAGTCGTACGAATTCGACGAATGATTAAAAAGTGGCTAATTCGTAACAATTCATACGACCTCACTCGTACGAATTAATACGATTTTGCTAAATCGTACATATTTTACAAATTGGCCAATTCGTATGAATTCGTACGAATGACCTACCCCTCACCCCGTCCCTAAACCTAACCATCACGTGGGTTTAGACAAATCGTACAAATTAGTACGAGTGAGGTACGAATTAGCCACTTTTTAATCATGCGTCGAATTCGTACGAATTGGTCGTGAGATAGTGTTGCCAATACCCACTAAACTACTGAAAGAAGTGTTACCTGTAGTGGAAGAGCCTCTTCTCAATATTATCAACTCGTCTTTATTTTTAGATCATGTTCCAAAAATATTCAAGCAGGCAGTAATAAAACCTCTCATTAAGAAACCGCAATTAGATCCATATAACCTAGCAAACTACAGACCCATCATCAAATCTTCCATTAATGTATAAAACAGTAGAAAAAGTTGAGCTCTTTCTTGCAAGAAAATGATATTTCAGTCAGGATTCAGACCGCATCATAACACAGAAACTGCGCTAGTTAAAATTACAAGTTATTTACTTTCAGCTTCTGACTAAAGGCTGTATCTCAATACTAGCCCTACACGATCTTAGCGCTGCGTTCGACACTATAGATCATAAAATACTCTTGGATGGACTACAAAACTACACTGGTGTTCAGGGACAGGCATTCAGCTGGTTTAGATCGTACTTATGGTTTTTGTTTAAATGGGGAAAAATCAAAGATAACGTCAGTAGACTATGGAGTGCCACAGGGTTCGGTGTTAGGCCCTCTGCTATTCTCAATATAGTGCCACTTGGTAATATTATAAGAAAACATGGAATTAATTTCCACTGTTATGCTGACGACACTCAATTATATATTTCATCACGACCAGACGAAAACACTAACTCATCTAAATTGACAAGTGTGTCTCAAAGATATAAAATGCTGGATGACGCGTAATTTCCAGCTATTAAATTCAGATAAACGTAGTAATAATAAGTAAATTATTACTAAATATTATTACTATTACTAATTATTACTAAATAAATAAGCAATACCAAACGTAGGTATTACTTATTGGTCCAAAAAACTAGCCTCAAAACCTCTTACAATACAACTTTAATATAGACGGATGTCCTGTTACTTTATCCACTACAGTAAAAGACCTGGGTGTTATACTAGACCGCAACTTATCTTTCGAACATCATATTTCATATGTTACAAGAACAGCCTTTTTCCACCTTATAAACACCTGATGCAGAAAAGTCAGTTCATGCATTCACCACCTCGAGCTTTATTACTGTAATGCTTTATTAGCTGGTTGTCTTTTCACAACACAATATGTATTGTGAAAAACCAATACAAAAAAATTTAAATTGAATGTACTCAGTAAATTATGCATAATTACATGCAACTAACCCTCACCCTATAGTAAGTACATGTTCTCTATTAATACTACTCAATCCTTAAATACTGTAATTGAAGAGTTCAGATGCAAAAGCCTCTAAATGCCATTTAAAATTTTCTTCTAAAATGACCATTTTTATCAAGCTTGTATATTTAAGTTCAGTGATTTCACTTAAATGACAATTAATAGGTAATCTTTATTGCTATTTAAGTGAAATTACTGAACTTAAATATACAAGCTTGATAAAAATGATCATTTTAGAAGAAAATTTCAAATGGCACTTAGAGGCTTTTGCATCTAAACTCTTCAATTACACCTTAAAATAAAGTGCAACCTAATTGTGATATGCAATTTAAAATAACTGTTTTCTGTAATTGTAATTTATTCCTGTGAACAAAGCTGACTTTTCAGCATCATTACTCCCGTCTTTAGCATCACATGATCCTTCAGAAATCCCTCTAATATGATGTTCAAGAAACATCTCTGATTATTTTCAATCATTCTTTGATGGATAAAACATTAAAAATAACATTTATATGACGGAATTCTTTCTTTCTGTCACTTTTAAACTAAATTTAATAGTGAAAAAAGCTTCTGAACGGTAGTGTAGTTTTACGGCAGGACCAAAGTGACAAAGTAAAGACGGCAATGTGTTCAACTCACCTCCATCTGCGAGCAACAGAGGTTCTTTCACCTCAGAAAATCATCTCTCTCTTTCGCACCTAAACTAACAACTTGTCTCATCGAGTAAATTAGCACTGCAACTGCAAACAGACTTCAAATTAAACCGGCGCTGGAAGATCAGTGTTCCCTGAACGGCACTCGCGCTTGAAGAGAAGACACTGGGGGCCGAGTGTCCTCCGAGACTAATTCTCATCAGCAGTTTACATTCATTAAGCTCATTCTTTGCAGAGCTCCAAAGGTAATTAACCGTGGCCGAAGACGCTGCTCGGGATCGGGATCGCCACGTCTCTGTCACTCCGGAGCAAACAGCCTTTGATTTGCACACCGAAATAACACAAACCACCTCGCTGTCTCCAAAGGGGAGTCGAGCGGTTTTTAAAGACTACAATTACCGCACACTGCTGAAATTCTGCAATTGTCTTGTCGAGTTAAACGGAGAATCAAAGAACAGGAACGAGATAAGAATGTAGATTGCATCTGTTGTCACAGTCTTGCATCCTAAGGTGCTTTTCTGGTCACCGAGATTTTAAAGATTTTACACAGGATTGCTCAGGCTAGAAGACTAGAAGCTTTTGCTGATAATTTACTCGCCCCCATGTCATCTGTCATCCAAGATGTCCATGTCTTTCTTTCTTCAGTCGAAAAGAAATTAAGGTTTTTGATGAAAACTTAACAGGATTTTTCTCCATATAATGGACTTCAATGGGAACCAAATGGTTCAAGGTCTAAATGAGAGTTTCAGTGCAGCTTCAAAGGGCTTTAAACGACACCAGACGATGAATAAGGGTCTTATCAAGCGAAACGATCGCTCATTTAAAACATAAATTAAAACGTTTAAGTTTTATAAGCACAAAATGAACAAATTTTGATTCGAACAGGAGAGTCACAAACGCGCATCACAGAACAGAGCAAGGCGAGTATTTGTGCTTATAAAACGTCAAATTTTTAATTTATTTTTTAAATGAGCGATCGTTTCGCTTGATAAGACGCTTATTCATCGTCTGGTGTCGTTTAAAGCCCTTTGAACAGTTTGCACTGAAACTCTCATTTGGACCTTGAACCGCTTGGACCCCATTGAAGTCCATTATATGGAGAAAATCCTGGAGTATTTTTTCATCAAAAACCTTCATTTCTTTTCAACTGAAGAAAGAAAGACATGGACATCTTGGATGACATGGGGGTGAGTAAATTATCACCAAATTTTTTTTTTAAGAAGTGAACTACTCTTCTAAGAGTTGAGCAAAAATCAGTCCAGCAATTTGGCCAAAAGAAGATTTTATGCAACTGACTGGTATGCAAAAAAGTCTGGTTGGTTTATTCGAGATTATGCTTTTTTAGCAAAGTAAAAATCCTTTAGTGTAATTGTACAAATCCCTTCACCTAGAGCTACCAAGTCTTTTTATTAAGTAAATATAAGAATAACTTTTAGTAATATTTTTAGATCAACACTTACTGGACTGAAGCAGCTTCGGTTTACATGATTATTCATACATCTTTTTATAGTAAAACCATGTTCAAATGTGAGGAAGGTTTATTTTTATCTCTCAATCATCATTGTATTGCATTGCATTATTAATTTTGGATTGTAAAACTAAACATTTAAATATCATCTTACTTAGACATTATTGGAAGATAGAGTGATTACTGATATTTATATACATTTTATGTTAGTATCTGTTGCACTGTAATAAAGATCTCATTGATTTACATGTCAAGCCTCAGAATTTCATCTCACTTTTGGTTCATATAAATATCAGCATTCATATTTTTGAGTCTCTGAAAAAAATTTGAGCGGTTTTCCCTCCATATTCTCACTATATGAGCCTAAAAGTAAAGCATGATTGATATATATTTGAAGAGTTCAGATGCAAAAGCCTCAAAGTGCCATTTGAAATTTTCTTCTAGAATGATCATTTTGATCAAGCTTGTATATTTAAGTTCAGTGATTTCACTTAAATGGCAATGATAATTACCTATTAATTGTTATTTAAGTGAAATTACTGAACTTAAATATACAAGTTTGATAAAAATCATAATTCAAGAAGAAAATTTCAAATGGCATTTAGAGGCTTTTGCATCTGAACTCTTCATTTACTCATCAAAAAACACATGCAAACTGTTTTTTGGCTCCATTTCAAAATACTACATTTATCTGATCATTATTTCATATGTATAGATGATAGTTTATGCCACTGGTCGCAGATAAAGAAAAGAAACATGATTTAACAGCCGTTTCAAATATAAAAATAAGAACAATGTCTCCAGCGTTTACTGGCAATCGAACGACGGGACACAATGTAATCCTGCCACCGCAGGCCATTCCCGCCTTTACAACCCAAATCTACAATCAATACTATGCAAATATCAGCGTCTCGTGTGTCTGGCGTGGGCGTTGGACTGTCCACTGCCTGTCTTTGAGATTACACTGAGAAAATAGAGTCGTAATCTGTGTGACAGCGGTGTGTCGTGGCAGAACTGCGAGCTAAAGAGCCTCATGATCATCCTCATCTATCGCCGTCACTGGCTGATCAATCTCCTGTCATACACTGCCCTGATCTCCAGTTCGCCCGTGGAGCCTTGCGCCCGCACAGATATAAATAAACCGGCGCGACTCGGGAGTTATTGTTGCTATGGTAATGAAAAGTGGAGAACCGTATGGAGGTTTTGTTTTCTTTCCATAGATATAAGAAAACTCAAAGGCTCTGCTCAAAAAACAAGTGCACTTTCTTGCTACATTGGAAATCGAAAAATCGACTCTGGAACCAATATGTCCTAGATCACAATAAAATACAGAACTGTTTTTGAACAAAGACAAATTTTTAGGTAATGTATCCTACTCGTACTGTATGTTGCCTTGTGGATTTATTTTAAAAAGTCGTGGGGATTGAAGGCAGGCAAACACCCCACATTTTCATCTTTGTGGAGGAGGCGGGCAACGAGAATGTGATTGGGAAGAGAGCCACATCACAATGTGCGCAGTGATGGACTACTGTTACACAAACCACTAATTGGGTCATACAGTGGTGTGAATAAGTTTGGACACCCATGCTAAAGTTGCCTAAAAAGAGGAATAAAAAATCATCTTTTGGATATTGATCTTAATGCCTTAATTAGAAAAATGAGGAAAAGTCCAACCTTTAAGGACACCAATTTTCTTTGTGAATGAATAATGTATCATAAATAAATAAATGTTTTTCCTTAAAATACAGGGTGCATAAGTCAGGGCACCCCTATGTTAAATTCCCATAGAGTCAGGCAGATTTTTATTTTTAAAAGCCAGTTATTTCATGGATCCAGGATAATATGCATCCTGATAAAGTTCCCTGATTTCGGTATATCTAAATATGTTTAGTAAAAGGTAAAACTTCCGAAATCTCCGTGTAAATATTGAGTGACGTCACACGCAAGCGATCACTTCCGGCGTAACATTGAACTGATTCAGATCGGTTCAGTTGGACATTGAACAACTGATTCAGATCACTGTGATTACACGAGGTAAAAACGATATAAATACTGTTGGTTTTCTCACACAAACCGCTCGTTTCGTGTCTTAGGCCATCAATGTGTACTTACATTTACGAGTCATTAAATCATGTTTAATCTGGACTTCTCTGTGCATGCTCTTTGAGGTGGTGACCATAGACCTCCATTATATGACTGACAGACAAGAACGGTTTGACCTAAAAATAACAAAATTGAAAATACTGCGGAAACAAAGACACCTACATCTTGGATGCCCTTGAGGTAAGATAAAACACACCAAACATTAATTTCAAAGTGAACTATCCCTTTAAAGGCTAAAAGGTGGATTTTGCATGATATGTCCCCTTTAAAATTGTATGGGACAATGATATTTCACCACTCCTCTGCAGTCACCGAGTGGTTTACAGCCCATCCCAGAATGGTGTCACTTTTCCTCCCACCTCATCTCCATTCCTCAACCCCACAGAGGAATTATTATCCTCATGGAGGGGGAAGGTTAATGACCACCATCCACATGATCAAATGTCCCTCCTGGACGCAATGAATGCTGGATCCCTGGACATATCAGTTTGGAACGAGGTGACGGCGACTGCAGGATGGCATTAGTCTCACACGCACCTTTTTGAATCATTCCTGGGTTGGGCTCGAACTTCTCCATGAGCATCTGTGTTTGCTCCGGCTTCAGCGGCGGGTACAGGATCTCGTTCAGACGAGGGTCTCGCTGCTTGTTGTTAATGAATTCAGTCAGCTCGTCCATGGTGAGAAAGTTTCTGCTCTTCGCACCACTGGACAGAGACGGAGAGAGATGTGTGTGAGAGAGCGTGACACACAGAAGAAGAGTGTATCATCATAACAATAAGATGAGCAGAAACCCAGTGTGTGAATTACACAATGACTTTCAGGAAGGTTGTTTTTGTTATTAACGTCTCGCTTATGATCAATGCCAATCATCTTTCATTATGATTTTTTTAATTGTAAAATGCGCTCATGCGCTCGTCTCATACAAATCATTCCAACATGACTTGAAGGCATCATTAGATATACATAATACATAAAAAAATAAAGATAAAAATGTTAAATAAAGAAAATAAATGTATAAATATTTATTAAAAAACAGATAAAAATTAGGGCTGTGAAACGATTAATCGCGATTAATTGCATTCAAAATAAAAGTTTGTGTTTACGTAATATATATGTGTGTAGTGTGTATAATTATTTTGCATATATAAATACACATACATGCATGTATATTTTTAAGAAAAATGTGTTCTCAATATATCAAATATTTATATATAATATTAATAATGTATAAATATATATAAAGTATATACATGCAAATATTTCTTAAATATATACATGCATGTTGTGTGTATTTCTATATACAAAATAATTATACACACATATATTACGTAAACGCACTCTTTTATTTTGGATGCGATTAATCGTTTCACAGCCCTAATCGATAGATAAAACACTTAAGCATAAGATAAAAATAGAAAAATAAAAATAAATAAACAAACAAATAAATTGTTAAAAACAGAAAAATCATACATAAAAACTGTGTATAAAAATAACTAAACAAATAAATAAAAATAAAAAGCGACGTAAATAAAATAATATAAATAAATATAAATATAAATATTTATATAAATATAAATATTTATATAAATATAAATAAATTTAAATATAAATAAATAAAAACAGTTTAATAAATAAATAAATAAAAATATAAAACATAAATAAATAAACTGATAAAAATAGAAAGACAGATAAATTGATAAAATGCCTAAACAAATAAAATAAATTAGAAAAAAATATAAAAACAGATAAATAAATAAAGAAACAGATTAAATAGATAAAAACAGAAAAGACGACAAATAAAAACAAATGTATGAATGAATAAATATTTTTGTCATATTTTTGTATTTTAAAGCTTCAGCTGAAATCAGCTTCATAAGGACTTACAGATCAGCAAATATCTGGTTGATCTCAGATCGCGGGCAGAGATGATTGATGAACACTTTGTAGATGTCAGGGGTCAAATCCTCCAACGGGATGGAGTCATTCTGCAGAGACAATCAACTAATGAAATACATATTCAAATATTTATTCCACAACATCCATTTAGTCCCGACAGTCTTGAGTCGAAACAATCAATCACCAAAAATAGAGGAGCCAAGCCTCTCTCATATTAATAAAAACAAACATAGCCTGCTTAAGCTGGCCTCCATATTCAATCCTAAGAGAAGCGTCAAGTCCGAATCAATCGGTTGTTACGACAAACCCAATAACGGACATCAGTCAATGTCATCCACACGCTGTTAGAGATTCATCTCCCGCAGGGAACATTGGAAACTGAGTCTGGACGGCCACGCCAGCGCCCGAGGCTGACGAATGCTTTGTTGGTCAAAATATAAAGTAGCAAACAAAAAAAAGAGAAAGCATGAAGTGAGTCAGAGGAGGAGGGCAGCGAGAGTTAACCCGTGGTGATTTCTCATTAGCTGTACACTTTTCCCCTCGAGGCCTTTTAACATTATGGATTTTAAAAATCTCCCTGTGTCCGCCGCTCAACCTTTATGTTTGCCGTAAAACGATAGGGCAAACAAATAGACTCAAATGAAAAGGTGAGATGTCATTTGTCAGGCTAGCGTGGGGTTTTGGTAAAGCCCTCACAGGCTTCCTCTCTGCCAGCGATTAACCCAACATATGCTCACCCGGCCGGACGGAAGATTACAGCTCTCCAGTGCCGTCTCCACACGCTTCCGGTCAGCGGAGAAGATGCGGAAAATGCTGCAGAGCGAGAGGGAAACGTTAGGATGATTAGATGTGTCGTGCTCTGGGTTATCAGGTGAAAACGGCTGGTGTCTTACTTCTTCACGGGGACACGACCCTCCTGATTGGGCTGCAGCTTGAGTCTCGTGAAGCTGGCGATAAACAAAACAATTTCATAGAGAAGTTACAGGAGTCATTCTCTGAGAACAGCGCCATTGTTTAGACTTGTGTCTCCATACAGTAACTTACTGCTGATGAACAGGGCACTTAACTAATGTAGTGTACACGTTTCTCACCAGAATGACAGATGTAAGTTAAAGATCCCATTCATCGATGGATGGATGGATGGATGGAGGGATGGATGGATGGATGGAGGGAGAGATGGATGGATATATAGAGAGAGATGGATGGGGAGGGATGAATGGATGGATGAATTGAGGGATGGATAAAGGGAGGGGATGGATGATGGATGGATAGAGAGAGGGATAGATGGATGGATAAAGGAGGGGATGGATGGATGGATGAATAGAGAGATGGATAGATGGATGAATAAAGGGAGGGGATGGATGGATGAATGGGTAGATGGATGGGTGGATGGAGCGAGGGATGGATGAAGGGGGGGATGGATGAAGGGGTAGATGGATAGATGAAGGGAGGGGATGGATGGATGAGAGATGGAAGGATAGATAGAGGGATGAATAGATGGATGAATGGAGAGATGGATGAATAGATAGAGGGAGGGATAGATGGATGATAAAGGGAGGTGATGGAGGAATTGAGGGATGGATGAAGAGAGGGGAAGGATGGATGGATAGAATGGATGGATGGGTGGATGGAGAGATGGATGGATGGATGGATGGGTGGATGGATGGAATGAATGGATGGATGGATGGAGAGATGGATGGATAGAATGGATGGATGGGTGGATGGAGAGATGGATGGATGGATGGATGAATGGATTGGTTGGATGGATGGATGGATGGATGGAATGAATGGATGGATGGAGAGATGGATGGATGGATGGATGGATGGATGAATGGATTGGTTGGATGGATGGATGGATGGATGGGTGGATGGAGAGATGGATGGAATGAATGGATGGATAGATGGATGGATGGATGGATGGATGGATGAATGGGTGGATGGAGAGATGGATGGAATGAATGGATGGATAGATGGATGGATGGATGTATGAATGGATTGGTTGGATGGATGGATGGAATGAATGGATGGATTGGTTGGATGGATGGATGGATGGATGGAATGAATGGATGGATGGATAGATGGATGGATGGATGGATGGATGAAGGGAGGGGATGGATGGATAATAAATAGACATTAAGATAAAAGATAAGATAAACAAACAAACAAATACATAAAAAATAGTTAAATAGATAAAAGATAAATACTTAAAGATCAAATATAAAAATAAAAGTGTAAAGAAATAAATACATGTATTACAAATACATAGTTTTTCGATAACACTACAGTACAATAAGGTCTAACTTATGAACATTATGTAATGTATTAATTAACATGAACTAATGAGCATTACGTGTGTCACAATATTTATTAATCTTTGTTAATGTTAGTTAATTAAAATAGTCATGCATTGTTTGTCCAAATTAGTTCACATAAAATTCAACTTTTGAATTTAATAATGCATTAGTCAATTTTTAAATTAATATTCAGATTATTAAGCGCATTTCATTATTAGTTCATGTTAACTATACATTTGAATTGTTAATGTGTTTAAAGGAGACATGACGAGCTTCTGGAAAGATCTGCCGGTACTCACGCTTTCTCCAGACAGGACTCTCTGCCCATGTTCTGAGCCAGCAGGTTCGACGCCAGACTGAACAGCTCATCTGCCCACTCCTTCATCAGTGACAAAGCAGAAACAAAACACAGATTTTCATTCAAATCCATTCAGGTCAAGTATCCTGAGTCCTGACTGAAATAAACACTGCACAAAATATCTCACTGACAGAAATATCAATCATACTATCAGGGCTTGATGTTAACTTTAATGCTCGTCAGCCACTGTGGCTTTCCCGAGTCAACTCGTTCATTTCGTTCGTTGAATGAACCAAATGACACGATAAAAGATTCGTTCATTTTGATGAACGAGTTCGAACAGGAGAGTCACGAACGCGCATCACAGAACAGAGCAAGGCGACCATTTGAGCTTATAAAACTTAAACTTTGTTATTTATTTATTAAATGAGTGATCGTTTCGCTTGATAAGACCCTCGTCTGGAATCGTTTAAAGCCCTTTGAACAGTTTGCACTGAAACTCTCATTTTGAACCGTTTGGTTCCCATTGAAGTCCATTATATGGAGAAAAATCCTGGAATGTTTTCATCAAAAACCTTAATTTCTTTTCGACTGAAGAAAGAAAGACGTGGACATCTCGGATGACATGGGGGCGAGTAAATTATCAGCAAAAGTGTTTTTTAAAGTGAACTACTCCTTTAATATCAAGCACTTTTTGGATCAAATGTTCTGATGCGGATGCAAACACCTTGGCGACGTCTTCTTGGAAGGCCATGAAGTTCAGGTACTGGATATTGACCATGTCGGGTCCCGTCACCACCGTTAGCATCCGGTTCTCTATCCGTCCCACCAGATTCCCAACATCCAGGAGCTCCCGGAGCTTTGCTTCCTGAGGGAAAACAATAATGAAGCCTCGCTGCCATAAAGCATCTCAAATAAGCCAGTAAGCCTCTTTACGGCTGATCTCGCCCACAACCGTTTCCCACGAGCGCTTCATCCGTACGATAAAAACTGCTGAACACCTGCTGATGAGGGGAAAACACTCCACATGTGTCACTTCAGGATACAAACACTTTAACATTTAAAAACCGGAACTGAAAAGTGGCATTTATAAGTTAAAGCTGGATTCAGTTTGGATCTAGACATTGTGATGATTCATGAGACAAAATAATGGATGATGAAAATATGACAAAATGACAAAATATTATCCTTATATTGTAATATTATGTTTATATTGTAATCATTATGAGCCTGTTCACACCAAGGATGATAGCTATAAATATTATAGTTCAAGAGTTCACACCACAACTATAAAGATAAAAGCACAGAGTATCACTTTCAGAATGATTTTTTTTCCAGCTGATGAACGATAAAAACACTGACAGCCAATCAGAATCTGCTTTGAAGAACTGGAGCATTTAAAGTGGCAGACGACAAAACTGCACTTGTAATAAACAGAAGCATATCATCTGGAGGCTAATATAGTTATGGTTCTTGGTTTGAACATGTGTCTGCTTAACTCAATACATTACTTTAATATATAAAGTGTTGAAGTTGACATTGACACACTTTTCTCTGGTTGATAACAGAATGAAAGCTTGTTCTAAATCATGAAATTCTCATGATTTAGATTTTTTATTCTCCCTTTGCTGTTTTGCTTTTATATCTCATAATTCTTGTTTTTTTGTTTGTTTGTTTTTTGACATACAATATATATATTTCTTAAGTAATTGTCACGTTTTACCTCACAATTCTCAAAAGTTAAAATTGCGAGTTATAAACTTAAAATTAAGAGGTACAGTATAAACTTTTTACTCACAAATATGAGTTTAAATGTCAAAAAAATCAAACTTTTTTTACTCGTAATTCTGGGAAAGTCAAAAATTGCGAGATATACACTCGCAAAAACGTTATATCTCGCAATTTTCTTCGATCTTCTATACAGCCGAAACAAACTTTGTTGCTTTATTTCCCTGTTATCACAGTGAAGCTGATTTGAAACAATCTGCATTGTAAAAAGCACTATATAAATAAAAGTGACTTGACTTGTATCTCGCAATAATTGTGAGGAAAAAAATCTGCTTTGAGAGAAAAATGTCAGAATTGCGGGCTAAAATTACACTTTAAACAATGCTGGGTTGTTTGAATCCAAATTTGGGTCAAATATGGACAAACCCAAATGTTGGGTTAAAAATGTAATTTCAAATTTTTTACCCAACTTCAACTTTCACTTTCAACTGTACATTTTTTAATTCGATTTTTAACCCAACATTTAGGTTTGTCTATATTTGACAAGAGCTAGACCGATTAATCTGACGATTTTGGGCATTTTTTAACATAATCGGCATTATGCCGATGCCAATATCCAAGTATATCATTTCTTTTACATTATTATCATTTCTTTTACATTTTATCTTTCAAATAGAGGTTAAAAACCAAGCAAATATCGGCTAAAATAAATCGGCAGCAATACTCGGCCGACCCGGATTTATCGGTCAACCTCTAGACTATATTTGACCGAAATTTGGGTTCAAACAACCCAGCATTTTTAGAGTGCACCAAGGACGATGACTTTAACTTTCCACATAATGTATTGTATTATAGCTGTATATTACTGCCATTTGGACATTATTAACACACTTTTCTCTGGCTGATAACAGATTTTTTTTGTTGACATACAATATATATATTTCTTTTAAAAGTAATTGTGACGTTTTATCTCACAATTCTCAAAAGTCAAAATTGCGAGCTATAAGCTCAGAATTAAGAGGTACAGTATAAACTCTGAATTTTTTACACACAATTATGAGTTTAAATCTCAATAAATCATACTTTTTTTTACTCGCAATTCTGGGAAAGGCAAACATTGCAAGATATAATTGTTATATCTTGCAATTTTCTTCAATCTTCTATAGGGTGCAATTATACTCTAAACAATGCTGGGTTGTTTGAACCCAAATGTGGGTCAAAAAACCCAAAAGTTGGGTTAAAAATGTCATTTAAAATTAACCCAAGTTCAACTTTCACTTTCAACCGTACATTTATAAATTCCATTTTTAACCCAACATTTGGGTTTGTCCATATTTGACCCAAATTTGGGTTCAAACACACCATTTTTTTAGAGTGTACATTTTCTAGTTTTTTATTCCATGACAAAAACAAAAGTGCACACAATACTCCCTAAATTGTGCCAATGAAAAACAAGCATTTTCTAAGCTTGCACTCTAAAAATGCTGGGTTGTTCTAACCCAACTTTGGGTCAAATATGGACAAACCCAAGCGTTGAGTTAAAAATGTAATTAAAAAATGTAACCCAATGGCTGGGTTTGTCCATATTTGACCCAAAGTTGGGTTAAAACAACCCAGCATTGGAACAATATGTATATTATGCAAATAAACGTGATGAAATGCATATGCACCTATAAATCTGCAATGTAAAAATAAAACTGGTTGCTTTGCCTGCAGATCAGATTCTCGGTTCCTGTCGAAGTGGGCGTTTGTTGGCAAGAGCGAGCTGCAATGTGGTGCCAGAAAAGCCTGTGCGTCCGTAGCTCTGAATGATGCCTTGAGTGTTGCTCAGGTAGGGAGCCTGACTCTTTCATCCGAAGCGCCGTCCAACAAGTGTGTTTCTGCGCGCGCACATGCAGCTGTGCAACAGGTGTGTGTGTGTGTGTGTCCTCTCAGCTGTCAGTAATTACAGTGACTCTCCAATCAAGCGCTGATGAGCGAGTGCCATCCGTGCCACAGCAAATACACAAATATAACCCAGCATAGAAGACACTCACTGCCAAATATGTGTGTGTGCACTGTAAAATGTAACTGATGATCTTACTAATAACATTAAGTGAAAAAGACTTATTTTGAATAAGTTTGTTGACCTTACTAAGTTTGATAAAGTAAGGACAACTTTTTAGCATGGTAAGTTATTAAACTCAAAAGATTAAATTAACCTCTACTTAAAATAATAAGTATGTTGAACATTTTCGAGTGGTCATGCGCAGTTCTACCAGTAGGTGGAGCCGATTTGAAAACGTTATACCATTATTTCGGATGAGGAAAGCACATGGAAAGGTGAGTCCGTGCTTTTTATGTCTTATTTTAATGTCTGAATTGCTTAAAATACACAATTGACCGTTTAATAAGTGAAACAGATTAAACAAACTAGCGTTACAGATGAACATTGGATGTGTTATTTTAATCAAATTCTTAGATTGTGTTGGATTGTGCTAATCGAAATGAGCAGTCTAGCATTTGCAAATCAGTATGCCTAATCGTTAGGTCCATGCTTTCAATCAAGGAACATTTTTATGTTTTATTTATTTTTATTGTGAGTATAATGTAGACTGAGAAAAAAACTTTACTGATTTATATTTTAATGTTGCAATAATTATGTAGAAATATAGCAGTGCTAAAATTAATATATTTTAACTTTTGGATTACTTCAAATTAAGGGTGTGGGATTATTTTCTCCACAATCTGTTATTAATTAATTATTAATTATTTGTTATTAATTTAATTATTAATTAATTATTTGCGTGCTATTCTGAAATGGGCGCATGTCATTTTCTGAGTGCATCAACCACTTAACAGTGCCTGATTACTAAACTTTATATTTCGCGTCTAATACTGTGGAATATACACAATGTTTTCATGAACACAGTTGGTTATGTCTAAAGTAAAAGTGAACTTAATTTAATCGGATGTGTTTATGTATTTTAGAAGCGTGCAGGTCTTTAAGCGACGGCCCAATGCGCCTTTTTCTTAAAGGGATAGTTCACCCAAAAATTAAAATGTGTCATCATTAACTAAATTTCTTTTTGTTCCAAACCTTTATTAATTTCTTTCTTGTGCTGAACACAAAATAAGATATTTTGAAGAATGCGTGTAACCAAACAGTTGATGACCCCATAGACTTCCATAGGATGATATGGAAGTCAATGGGGACCATCAACTGTTTGGTTACCCACATTCTTCAAAATAACTTTTAATTTGCAACAGAATATTACATGATGATACAATTGCCCCACAATTGTTTTTTGGGAGAACTATTCTTTTAATGTTAATAAAACAAAAGTCACTGAAAATCACTCACTTAAATACAGTGGCTTTAATAAGAATAAATTATTAATCTATACTGTCAAGCCAATTTATAGGGTTTATCTCATTTATATATTATGTTGTGTATATGTAACGTGTATCTTTATTCCTATTTCTTTATTAACAAAGATTAAACAATTACTAAGCTTTTTATTATCATTCATTTTGGCCTAAAATGTCAGCTATTCTATTTTTGTTTTTAGCTTTGTTTTTTGAAAATATGGAAATTTGTTTAGCTATAATGCAAAACAGTAAAACCAACATGAAAAGAATTGTGATATCATATTTTGCCATATCGCCCACCCCACACTTGTTTGAACACTATTGATATATAAATTAAAATACAAAGCTGTATATTAAAAAAGTGTGTATTTTAATATTATTTTCTTCATTTGCAGAGCTTGCTTTGTGAGATGAGACATGCAAAGGAAATGTAAGTACTGTTTTTTCCCCCTATGAAAATAGAGCTCTCCTATTGAAGCATTATCATATAAAACATGGAAGCTACTCCAGAACTACACCATTTTCATGTCTTCACACAGACTGTTTGTGTTCATTTAAGTCATAAATATATACTTTTTCGTTTATCTGAAGAATAGAGGTACATTTGGGATACTACGAGATTGAGTAAATAAGGCAATTTTTTAAGTATCCCTATAACGCAGTAACCAAAAGCCTAATAATAGATATAACATTGTTCTTTTTCCTTTTACAGATCAATGCAGAGTTTATCACAAGCAAAAACCTCAAGCAAGAATTTTTCACAGCACTTGATCAACATACAGCTCCATT